TTTTTTTTTTTTAATTGAGTCCCTGTAGAGACTGTCAAAAATTGCCAAAGCTGACTACATTGTAAGTTGTCACAGTGGGGTATTGGGAAAAGTTTTCAATTAGCAATAATCATGCCTTGGCTAAACCTCATTGGCTATGATCCTGTCACTGCACAAGGCTTCAACGTTTTTTAATGTGGTAGACAAATTGTTTAGCTTATGGCTTTGACCACCTCCCCATGCCCCCATTTAATGTCACTCTGTTTATTATGCTGCATATTTCAGCCACACTTGTCCTTATTCCTATATGCCAAGTTTTCTTTTGCCTTAGGAATCTGTATACACTGTGATTTCTGCCTGGAAGATTCTATCCCATTCTTTCTATAACTATTTTTTGTTGTTGTTGTAGGTTTTAGCTGGGGCTGGGCTTGAACCCACCACCTCCGGTATATGGCGCTGGCGCCCTACTCTTTAAGCCACAGGCACTACCCCATAACTTTCTTTAATTTCAGTTTAATATGAGAGGAAAAGCAACTAGGTTACAATATTTGCATATGTTAAGTAAAGTCCCTCCTGTAGTTATGTTCAACACCCAAAATATGTGTTAATACCCTTACCCATTAAGCGGTAGCACACCAATCCCTCTCCCCTCCTACCCTCTCCTCCTTCCCTCACTTCTTCTCCCCAAAATTGAATTGAATTGAGTTTTTCTCTTATGTGGGGTGTATAAAATTGTCTACTGGCTTCATATTAGTATTGAGTACACTACATATTTGCTTTTCCATTATTGTGATACTTTACTAAGAAGTATGTGTTTCAACTCCATCTAGGTTAATATAAAAGACGTACGGTTTCCATCTTTCTTATGGCTGACTAGGTATACATATACCACAGCTTGTTAATTCATTCCTGGGTAGATGGGCATTTAGGTTGTTTCCACATCTTGGTGATGATAAATTGAACTGCAACAAAAAATCTAGTGCAAATGTCCTTATGATAAAATTATTTTTTTTTCCTTCTGGGTAGATGCCTAGTAATGGGATTGCAGAATTAAATGGGAAGTCTAATTTGAATTCTTTGAGGATTCGCCATACTTCTTTCCATAGAGTCTGTATAAGTTTGCAGTTCCACCAAAAGTGTAAAATTTTTCCTCTTTCTGCACATCCACACAAGCATCTGCAACTCTGGGACTTTGTGATATAGGCCACTCTCACTGGGGTTAGGCCATATCTCAGGGTGTTTTTGATTTGCATTTCTCTGATGATTAGGGGGATGAGCATTTTTCCAAATGTTTATTAGCCATTCATTTGTCTTTTGCAAAGAGGGTTCTGTTCATATCTCTTGCTCAATGGTATAATGAGGATTGCATTGAATCTGTAGATTGCTTTGGGAAGTATAGACATTTTGATAATGTTGATTCTCCCAAGCCAAGAGCATAATATGTTCTTCCATTTGTTAATGTGTTCAACTAAGGCTCAACTTAGGTTTTCATAATTCTCTTTGTAGAGAATATTCACCTCTTTTGTTAGGTATATTCCTAGGTATTCATTTTCTTTGTTGCTACTGTGAAGGGAATTATATCCTTGATTAGCTTCTCAACTTGGCTGTTGTTGGCATATACAAATGCTACTGATTTGTGGACATTTATTTTAGTTCAAAAACAAAAACAAAAGCTACAGGACAGCCCCTGCCGCTCTCCAGTCCTCCATGGGAGGGCCTCTGGCCAACCTCCAGCCATACCTGGGCTTGCATTCTGTGCTGGGCTTCCTTAGCTCCAGACCTCCTTGCTGGCCCCTAGAGTCTCCCACTGCTTTACTGTGCCCCCAGAGCAATGTTTCTAGTAGGTTCCTCCAGCTGAAGGTAGCTGAAGACTTTTCTCCCCTATCTCAAAATGATTTGGAAGATCAGGGAGATGTCTCTAGTCTGCCATCTTGCTCTGCCCCCTGCACTTCCTCTTCCCATAACTTAAAAAAAAATTTTTCTTCCATGGGTGGTTAGTTTAAAAATAGCAACAACTCAATTGCTCAGAGAGGGTTTCTCTATATTAGTATAAATTCCATTATGATTTTTATTATAACACTTTAAATCAATTTGTCATTTTATGTAGTTTTAAAAATTCCATTTATATGCAGTTCCTACTAAACTCTATACTCTTGAAAGATTATATACTTTGGGTTTACCACAGTATATTCTGCCTTTAATTCAATGCCTGCACAAAGTTAGGTTTAGTACATGTTAGTTGAACAAATTTAATAGTAACTCCCCAATCAACTTTACTTTTTTATTCTATGATTTGTATTAAAAATATGAAAATTTGGGTCAATTGTTAAGTATATTTGCTGATCATTTAATTACAAGATAACAGGGTAACTGTTCTTTCAGAGTGAAGGATAATCATCATGCTATAAAAAACACAGAGATATAGCAACTGATTTTGCCTTAGGAAACAATTCACTGACATGGTGACCTGGGGTTAGATCTTAATGATGAGTTACAGTTTTCCATGTTAAGAAGCCTAAACAGGTGTTGGGTTATGGGGAATAGGAATGGATCAGTTAAAATAAAATGTTTTTGAGTACATAGCAGGAGCATGGGTTAATTGCAACAATGATAAGTAGGGAGCCCAAAAGTCAAATTATATTGGCTAGACATCTACAATAGACTATGGAGTTTTTAGTATGGACGTGACATATTCATGTTATTTTATAGGAAGGTGAAGTATGAATAAAATACATTGAAATTAGAAGAGACAGAAAATAGTTAGGATGCTATTTAGATATTCCAGCCCAGAAATGCTGGAAGCTTTAATTGAATTTTAGCTATGTGTCAGGCACTGTAATAACTGCTGACCCCAAAAGAGGTAATTAGATGTACTTAAGTATCTATTTGGGATCATTTCCATCTTTCTTCTTTGACAGTCAGATTGACTTTTCTGCATTTGTCTTTAACATATGCTTTCTAAAATACACTGCATTTGAAGATAGTGTCTTCCTCTGGCAGATTTTACGTATATTATCCAAGTGGCAGATTTTACGTATATTATCCAAGGAAGCAATGTAATAGAGAGTGTGGTCAACTCTACAGTATATGAGAAATAGAGACTACAAATTATGTCATGCTTGAGTGAAGCTCTAAATGTGATGGCAGGCTCACTTCAGGCAGAGAATAGCATAAGCAAAGGCAAAGGCAGCGTCTGAGCCAGAGAAGGCAATTAATGTGACATGCATGAACTAAAGAAAAATAGAAGTGAAGATTATTGTGTGTCTATGGACTGTGGACTTTGGATGAACATGATGGAGTTTGGATGAAATATATAAATAATTTTCACCATTTTTGGATTCTATTTGAGCATGTGGTCATCTAATTATGAGATTGCAGAAATAGCTGAGCAAATTACATGTACACCTTAAGTGTAGCTAGATATTTACCACCAACAATCTCCTAAATATTCTTTCCCCATTGCAGTGACTCTTTTAAATGTTTTTCACTTTCTCCAAACCCCAACTTTGTCTCACTAGTCCCTTGTGTTTTATGGTCTAGAAGTAGGGGCCATCTGACAAGAGATGAGGCAGCTTCCTATCTCTTCCTATCTCTTGGCAACCAAACTCCTCCTCCCTTTGCACATCTGACCTCTAGCCCACACTCTTTCCTGAGCTGTTGCCTCACTAAACCACTCATTG